GTGTACATATTTACAGTTTGATGATAATATACATATGTACACTCTGATGGATACATTGTGTAAGATAGATATGTATTTAAAAAAAAATACTGAAATAGTTCATAAAAAAGGGATTGTACATTCATATATATCTTGTACACATACACACTTTGATATAGTTGTCCATATGAAACTATATAAGGTGAATATTTTAAAAAGATAGCAAATGTGGCTTTACACTGTACACTGTTGAAGCGATATTATATATGTACATTATATCTTGGAATCTGCTCATATCGTAATTATGTTTAAGAAAAATATGTTCACATATGTGTACAATTATGTGTACATGTGTACATCTTCAGATATGTGCACTTTATTATTAAAACAATATACACTCGTCACATATGTACACTATTTATTATTAAGGCAAAAACTAAAATTTACATGTGTACAATTATATGTCTGCATGTGTACACCATCACATATGTACACACTTTATTATTAAAATAATATACCATATACATGTGTACATGTGTACGTCTTCACAAGTTTATGTATTTCGTAAGTGTATACATTGATGTGTACACCTACTCGCATTTCTACTTCCAAAACTTCAGTCTCTATCATTAGATGTACACGAAACTGCAATGCGGACAGAAAAACAATGTACACAATCATTTATGGCAATGTTACATGCAATTTTAACGATGTTCACATGTACACTGTTGTAACGATATTCACGTGTATACTATATCTGGGAATCTGCTTATGTCATAATTATTTTTAAGAGAAGTGTGTTAATATACCAAACAGCCAAAGAAACTTTATTTAAGATCAAAATTTTACGAGAGATATAAACTCAAAAGAGAGGAACAAACATCAAATTTCAAATTTGGTCTTTGTTGCTATCAAGCTTCTCACAAGTGGTGAATATAACAAAAGAAAGGACACGGCGACGACAACTCCGGAGCTCTAGAACCAATTCCACAACTTTGGATCTCGTCGTAGAGTTTGACGCAGAGGTGTGTCCATTAAGAGAGAGAGATTTTATACATCATGATTTTATCACCATCAGATGTATAGCTTGACACATCTCAAAAGATATATTGGATAATGAACATATGTTCTGGAAACAATGTTCTGGAAAACTAAAATTCATTTAACAAAAGGAAGAATAAAAGACGCAGAAAGGAGAAACGAAGAAGAAGATACGTGGAACCTATTTTATTTTGTCTTGTAATTAAAAAATCTATATTATATTTTTTTAGTTGGTTCATTATTTAGTGAAAAAGGAACTGATTAGTTTTAGTTGGCAAAAGAAGTTAATGAAAACTGTCTGAGTAGTGGAAACTGTCTTTTTGTGATATAATAAACTGTAAACTCTCTTAGAGTGATTTTGATTTTGACCCGCGCAACCGCGCGGATGTTTGTTTTAGTGTATAGTTAGTTATATAAATATTTTGTTTTCACTTATAAATTGGTATATATTATAGTAATCATATATTTACGATATATATAGTAAATGTTTTTCAAACATAATAATATTATATAATACGTGTTTTAATCAAATAGATTGTTTCAAATTTTTTATATTATACATGTTTTTCAAACATGTGTTTGTTTCTTCTTTTATATTTTATTGTTTGTTAGATTGATATTTTATTTTTAGATAAAGTAATATAAATAGAGCTTGATTAAATATTAGTATACTTTAATTTTCAAAGATAATATAAACTTCGAAAATTTTTTTGCTAAAAACTAAACTTATAGCTTCATAAATTAATATTATAAAGAATTTTATTAAAAAGGAATTTTTTAAACAATTTCTTTTTTAAAACAATATAATTTTAAAAATTTACATCGAAAGAAATTTATCTAGTATATATAGCATGTAAATTTTGTTAGGGTATATAAATATTCCATATTATGAATCTGTGATTTTTGTTAATATATTGTGGGTGCATTTAACTATTATTGACATATTTCCTTATAAATAGTAGAAGATTCCTAAACTTATATCCGTTGACATATTTTGCGTGACTAAGTTGGAAGGTGTGGGGTAATTTACCAAAACCAAATTTTTAAACGTATCTTTGTTATTATAGATATGATTTTTCATAAGATATAATAATGATAAGATTATTAGAGAGTTAATGTAACATGATTTTCTAGTAATAGTCCATTTTTAAGAAAATCACACATGAAGTCAAGGTATGACTTATGTTTTAATATATAAGATTTTAATTTTCCTTCACAAATTTTAGAATAAAATTTAGAATATTACATTTTGTAATAAACTAAATATAAACTCAAAAGAAACTTCAGGTTTTAAAGTCATACGTTTATATATATAAACAGTTATAGGGTTGTTAACTTCAGACCAGATTTTGAGGGTGAGCAAGGAGCAGGGTGAGCAAGGAGCGCAAATAGACATGGTCCTAAAAAACTGCTTAAACTTCTTCAAAATAAAGGGCTCAAGAATATATTTTTTTTTTAAATACGATCACCCAACAATACATAGGTAACATAAGAATATATGCAGAGATAAATAAATGACCTGCATAACGCGTAGATAAAATTTAGCAAATCTACATCCGCCCCACTAGAGTTTGCGGGTTTATCGCAAGTAATTCGTGAATCCTAATAAATAAATAAGAAATTTAAATATTTTATCAAATTGATTAAATAATATAAATTATATATTATAAAAATATAAATGTATTTTTATAAAGAAAATTGGGGAAAACGATATTTTCTTCAGTTTTTTTTTTATATATTTGATAGGTTGGCGGAAATCCACGGTTTTAATTGGTTGATCCGCATTCCATCCTGGGACGGGTCAAATGGATCAAGACCCACAGATTTTAAACCAAATACCCAATTTTAGAGGCACATGTGTTAACGGCTTCGCATAATGGGAATAACAGGAGAGAGACTTCACAAAGAATGGCAGCTACACTAAGAAGAGTGGTATAGGATCTATCGACTATCACGGCAGAGGGTTCTTTGCCTCCAGTGGGAAAACAGCTTTGGAAAAGAATCTGGAAATTGAAGATGTCCCCTAAGATTCACCACTTTTTGTGGAGGGCATTTTGGGGTGCTTTGGCTGTTGCAGAAAGGCTCCAGTCTCGAGGTCCCAGTGCTGATACGACTTGTAAAGCATGTGGTTTAGCCCCAGAGACTATATGCCATGTGTTATTTTCTTGCCCTGTTGCAGTGGAAGCTTGGAGACGAGCAAGGATAGATCCTCCAACCTCTGTTTTTTTCTCAAAATTCGACTTTCCTTAACCTCCATTTCCTAGTGGCTGCAACGAAGAAATCAAACCCTAGCGATAGTGGCATCCAAGCCTTCCCATGGATTCTCTGGCACCTTTGGAAATCTCGTAATGTCCTGGTTTTTGAAAAAACCAGAATTTCTGCTGCAACATTTGGTTCACTATAAATGGAGTTTCTAAACCATCTGAACCAATTGGCTCCTTATCTCACGTTCCTCCATCAGACTTATGGCTTAAACCCCCTATGGGCTCTGTGAAATGTAACGTAGGCAGCGCCTGGATAAGGAGTGGATCTTTCAGTGGATCTAGTTGGATCACAAGAGATCATCAGGGTCATGCTTTGCAACACAGCTGCCAATCCTACTCTAATATCTCCTCGAAGAGAGAGGCAAACTTGCTCTCTCTCTTTTGGGCAGTCGAGAGCAGGGCCGGGCCTGAGCCCATTGGAGTGAAACATTTGAATGGGGCCCCTCTATATAAGGGCCCCCAAATTTAAATTTTTTTCTTTTTTTATCTATTAATTTTTTGAAAAATAATTACTTTCTACATACTATATATGAAAAATATATAACTTGTAAAATTATATATACTACTTAAAGCTAAATAATTTATTTTTACTTCTTCATTTTTGGTTTTAGATAAATTTGTTTTATTTCTATATTTTAAATATAATTTTCATTTATTTTGGTACAAATTTTTTTTTTTGGATTGGGGCCCCAATATTGTCAGGCCCGGCTCTGGTCGAGAGCATGGTCAACATGAGACAAAGAGACATTATCTTTGAATCCTCATCCATTGAGTTAAGGGAAACTCTCATGTCTCCTAACAGGTTCCCGGAACTCCATCACCTCCTAGATGACATTTCTTGCCTGCTTCAACGCTTATGCTCGTGGTCGATATGTTATGTCTGGAGTAGCAGGAACAAAGTTGCTTCAACCATAGCAGAGAATGTGATAAAAGATCATCGACCTCAATCTTATGTAGCTCTAGGTGGTCCGTTTTGGCTGCGCCCATCTATCCTTCAAGAATCCATGAGGGCTTAATCCGTATTCTCTATCCCTAAGTATCTGCAGTAGGGGTTTCTTGCAGTCTACGGTTCTTGTTTCTGTCAGATGTTAGTATCTGTCACTTAGTGGTGCCTACTGGTACTCCTTGTTGCTTTCTCTTTTTTTGCGTTATTTTCTCCTCTAAAGGACCAAACTTTTGGTGTTGTCATGTTTCTGGACTTTTTCTATTTAAATGAATCAGTGTTAAAAAAAAAAAAAAAAACAAGAGAGAGACTTCACTATTTAAGTATGGTGAAGAATAAACACAATAGCAGCTCCATTGTAGTATTCTAAGGTTCTTACTGTTTAAAATAAAAGAAAATTAACAAAATGAGGAGTCTCATCTAAGAACTGTAGACACTGTTATTCATACATACAATGCTTCAACAGATTTTAAGAAACTAAAGTATTTATAATATTATTTTTTTCTTCTTCTAGGAACTCTCACAGGTTTTAGCCGATAACGTTGCGCTAATAGCTATCTAGAGATTTGGATCACAGAGGGTTAATATCTCTCAAGTCTCAAGGTTCTTAAGTTTTGTAAAGACCGGTTTTAGTCAATATAATCGTTACCTTTGCTTTGTCCACTGTTTGGTATACTTTTCATATAACAGAATTATGTTCAAGGATTGCCATGATTTCATATCCCTCATGACCCAGTTAGTCAATAAGAGTATAGCTGTAAGAGATGGGACTCTGAGTACATGTCATTAAGAATGGTAAAAGTTCCTGCAATAGGGACTACATGTTCGTATTATCGTAGCTTCTTGAGAGGAATGATAAAACATTTATGAAAAGAGTTACATTGTTATAGTTTTCAAAATTATTGAGCAACTGTTTCAGAGGCTGACTGTCTCAGAAACAAACACAAGCCAAAAAAAAAAAGCAACAAGTACAAACAAAGTAAAACTGGAAGTTACTCCTTCAAAGCAGGTGGGATTTTTGTTTTGGACTCTGAAATTAGACCTTCAAGAGTTGTGTAGAAATCCTGAGGAAGAGGGCCAGGCCGGTGCTGAGGAACATGGTTTGGAATCGGTGCATCGTTCTCAATTACTTCACACTCGTAGTCATCTGGAACACCCCAAGGGTCCCATTCTGCAAATGCGAACAATAAGGTTTTACAACCTCGTGGTCAACAAATTCTAGACTCTGAAAAATGTCAAATGCGATAAGGCTCAAACATAGCTACTTCTATAAAAGACAGTCACATTTCATTCATAATGATCTCTAAAAACTTATGAGATTCAAAAGAGAGCTATTGACACTAATGTACAGATAGCTCCAAAGCAACCACACCTATGCGACAATGTAGAACAAACTATACAAACTTTCACCCATAAGCAAACAATACATCAAAACAGCAAATGAATCGCATCAAAACGGTGCGTTTTAAAGAAACGGAAAAGCATACGGACCGATCATTTTGGCAATGAGTGTGAGCTCATCTTGAGCCTCTTCGATGAGCTCCTCCACTTGACCGCAACCAAGACGCTTCTCGATCGCCTCCCAGTCTTCTTCTTCCTTGCAGACACTGAGACGGTGCCGCGTGAAGGATTCCACCGCTTTTCGGTATCCTTCATCCTCGGGCACGGCTTCGATCTCCTTTAGGGTTTTCGTATATAGTTCGATCAGCACCGCCCTCGCGTTCGGTACAACGTCAAGCCCTACGATCCCTGTCGTCTGCTTCACTTTAGCCAGCAATGGCCGTCCGATTGCCCGTAAGAACATCTCAACCGCTGGATCTCTCTCTCTCTCTAACGCCGGCCAAATCTCAGAACGGTTTGTTGTTGTTTCAGATAGAAGAGAAAAACGAAAACCAGGTTCTTTAATGGGCCTATATACTTCTTAATGGGCCTTTTTAGCTTTTAATGGCTTTTGAATAACTTGGAGCTTTCTTGTCTTTTACTAATTAAAAGATGCTTTCGATCGAATTTAACTGCGGTTTATTAAATTTTTGTATGTACAGATGTTTTCTATTCGTGAGTTGGGACCATATAATTAATATGCTGGATGTTTTTTTAAATAGGAAGTCCTTTTTTTCCTCGATTTGTTTTTATTTTATTTTTTGGTACATTAAATGCGTGTTCACTAAAGTAATAAGAAAACACATTCAAAAACTAATAAGATATGAAGAGAGGTAACAACTTGCATGCCCATCTTTCGTCATGAGAATCTGAACCGACCATAATATATGATAATTTATAAAATACATAGTTTCTTTTATAAAAATAATTAAAATCGTAATAACTATTTCATTATAGCCATATTTAAATTAACAAATAGCGACCCTACTTACTTAATTCAAGTGACGTTTAATGGCAGGAATTTTCTATTACGACAACACTAAAATAAAAGCCCCCAAATAAAATATGTTTGACCGACGCTTCAGATTACGACAAAATAACATATACAGTAATAATTAAAAAACTTTATAATAAAAAATGGTTGACCATTTAATAGAAGCCAAAGGCACAAGTGGAACTAAAAACGCCAGATTTAGGGTCTTGTCTCGTGTCAGATTAAAAAGCCAGCAAAAACCGGAGTCCCAGTTTCCGGTCTGAACCGAATTAACTGTTGTGTAGCCTTTATCTAAGCTAGCTTCCAACATGATTAATTTTTCAGTTATTACACTAAGCTAATATTTTAACTATTTCGACATTAAATGAAAGCTAATATCGACAAAAAAGTGATAGCTAATACTCCATCCGTTTCAAATTATATGTCATTCTAGAATAAAATTTTTGTTTCAAAATAAGTGTCGTTTTATAATTTCAATGCAAAATTTATTGATTTTAAATGTTATTCTATTTTTTCATTGGTTGAAAAGTTGTTAGGTGTATATGTAATTATGTTTTTATTTTAAAAATATATAAAATTAATTGTTTTCTTAATCTGTGTGCAAAACTCTAAAATGATAATTAAATTGAAACGGAAGAAGTATATTTTTTTGTTAGCATGGTTATTGCTGCCAATGTTTTTTGTAACTAGGACCTACGTTATATTAGCTTAGTTATTTATTCCAAGATAAATAACTTTAACTGTTCATGTTTCAGAATTTGCTCTGCTTTGGTTTTGTATTTTTGAACTTTAAAGTTTTTGTATGTTTTTAACATAATTTCTTTTTGTTTTGTATGTTGTAAAGTTTACATGCATATTCTTTGGCAATACATATATTACCTATGTAATTTAAAAGAAAAAGCTTTGACACAAATTTGTTGCTTTTTGGTATTCGTATTTTTTTTAAAGAAAAAAAAATCCAAATGTGATAGTTGCTTAAACAGTTATATTCCATTATAGTATGATATACTAATGGCTACTCATGCAGAAAGAATAAAGAGTAAAATAAAACTAAAACCAAGAAATAAAGGATTTGTCATATGCAAATATCGATTTAATCGGCACATATCTAAGAGATTGATTGTCTTTGTTAAATAAAAAAAAAAAGAGAAATTGATTTTCTATTTTTAGCTATCAGTCTAAACGAAGAACAAATGTAGACTCGTCTTTTTGCCATCTCTTTCTATGCGTATTTTTTAATCTCTATATATGTATTTTTTTAATAAACACAATAAATGTCAAGATTTAACAAAAAATAATAATTAAAAACTGACTTTCTTAAAAAATGAGATTAATATTCGTTTCCATCATCCATCACCGTCCCCGGCGGACCCGGCGGACCAAGAGGGAAAGTTTCCAGCGAAGAACAAATCATCTTGATCTCTCACCGCGTAATTCGGTATCAAAAGATCATCCACGTCATCATCTTCATCATCCTCTACTTCATCTAACTCTTCGTCTTCCATGTTGACTTCTTCGTCTCCGTTGGCTACTTGAACGTTGTCGTTTTCTTTCAACGGCGTCGTAGGAGAGAGATGAATCTCTTCTTTTACAGTTTCCATACCAGAAACTGACTGAGTCGATGGGGTGTCGGGTTTTGGGGTTGGGTTAACGGGTTGAGATTTGTTACGAGTACTACCGGCGAGAGAGTTCCGATGAGTAGGACGCGGATGAGTGTGTTCTCCCGTGTAAGTAACGATGAAGATATTCGGATCCAAGTTGCTTCTTTCAACTTGTTTTCGAGCTAAACACCCTTTTGAGCTACTGCATCTGTAATAATTCCTGTTTTGCATGTAATAACAAGAATCAAAACCTGTTTAATTAGCACATATTTTTCCCTTAATCTTTGATAATATTTCGAAGAAATAAAAATGAAAAATAAGACCTTGGATAAGGAGAGCCTTTGATGGGTTTTTGACCGTATTTACGCCATGCCCACATATCAGAAGAGAGATTCTCTTGAGTTACATGACATATGGTTCTCTTTTGCTGATTCTTTCTGTATAAAACAAGATAATTAACAAAAAAAAAAAATTGAACCAAGACTTGGGGGGTTAAACTAATAGATGAATGAATCAAACCTTTTTCTAGATCGAAGAGGAGCTTGAGGTTGTTGTTGAAGAAGGTGGCTGCGTTGACCTCTGAAAACAAATACAGACGATGAAGAAGAAGAAGAAATGGTCGTGGGAGGTGGGAAAACCCTAACACCAAGAGGAGGTTTCTGATCTTGTGATTCCGTGAGCCCTTGTTCTTGTTTCATTAAGACATTAGGAGCTGATGAAACAACAGAAGGAGAAGGCCAAATAGTGGCAACGGGTAAAAATGGTTTGCAAGAATCGTGTAGCTCGTTGCAAGAAGAAGACTCTCCGTTTATGTCTCCATGGATGTGTGGATACAGAGGAGGAAGATCTTGTTGCTTACAGTTCCCTCCTCCATCGTCACCACCACGAGAGTTGGTTTTTGTAGTCGCCGTGGAAACAGAAGAGCTGCAGCTTCTGACGACGGCGAAGAGATCCCAATCCTCAGACATGGTTGATGATCTCTTTAGTTTTTTTTTTTTTAACTCTGTTGGTGAGGAGAGAGGAGACAAACTATGGCGTAAAGGACGGCGCTGACTTTTACTTTGTCGAAAGAGAGAGAGAGAGCATGGATGTATTGGGCAGTGTCCGATAGGAATCGATGGATGGAAAAGAGAGAGCACTTGACTTGCTATTGTTTTCAATTATTTATACATTTGACCCCTCAAAAAACACTTAGAAAGTTTTATGGTTTTTCTAATCTTCTTTGTTACATTTTTATACTATTTTATAACATATTTTGATGTTTTGTACGGTTTGTGTTAAGAAGTTGTCTTTTTCTTTTTGTTGACAAATTTTCAGCATAGGGATAAAAGTATTTGAAGTGATGCGTTTTTAAGTGGGATCCCTTTTAAGTCATAAAAAGTTTTAGTAAGAGATGGAATTTTTTTGCTCAAAAAAAGGAGAGATGGAAATTTAACAAAAATATGATTATGATTTTTAAGCAGTGAACCGGTTTTTAAAATAATATAAACATTTTCAATACAAGTATAGATACAGTGACAAAAAAAAATACAAGTATAGATTTTTCCTTGAATGAAAATGTGTGTGAATATAGGAAAATATCTTCCCATGTCAATGTTGACTCCTGAAGTATACACAATAATTGGAGTTAAATAAGAAAGTGTTGAGAAATGATGGTTGGGACATATCCGGAAATGGACCAGACCACATCAGTCTCGCTTCAGTCCAAGACCAGGCGACAAGCACCTTATCCTTATCCATACCAGGCGGCCAAGACTTGTCATTATCCTCCCTTGTATTTATCCATATGTTGTAGTTATCCTAATCATTATAGGATTAGGATAATCATCCCCTTTA